CTGTACCCAACAGTGTGTGCAAACATAATTCTGATGTAGTAAAGTGATAAATAAATAATGAACAGTATGCTCTTTAGGTAGGCATATTATTATGCTCTCTGTGGACAATTAAAGTAAATATTATAAGTAATAGGTATTAGGTATATCTAAGGAAAGTTATTGTGTAAAGACTGCTGTACCCAACAGTGTGTGCATAGTACCTAAGTTACGTGGATTAGTTTTTAAGTTTCCTAATGTACAATATTAAATAAAATTCAGGATCTTCTACCTTTTCTTAACAAAATTTGCACATGATAATAACACTTATTTACAAGTTGTATAAATAATAATATGATTCATGTTGTTTCGAAAATTAATAGTAATGATTTTAGAATATATCTTTATTAAGACGGGAATACCAGGCCGAATGTAATGATTTTAATATCTTTATGAGACGTGAATGCCAGGGAGGCATCACGGTGACGGATGGCCGAATGTAATGATTTTAGAATTAATATTGTATTTTATACGATTATTAGTTGCTTATAAATAGTAATTGTAATAATTTTGGTAGAATTTAATAACCCATTATTAAAATTAAATACTTTACTTGATTACTTCCTGGAAATTGTTGCAGATATTAGAGTGGTTTTAGAATTTATTCTATATTATATTCAATTACATATTTCATGTTTATTATTTAATGTAATTATTTTAGAATTTTTATTGTATACGATTTAGTAATTTAGAATAAATTGTTATTTAAGTATTGATTTTGACTACTTCCGGGGCATGCTGTCGATAAGTCGTTTCGAGCCGGTTGACTTTGACGAATGGAAGGGGAAGTTGCCTTATCGCGGGCATGCCGCCGGACAGGCAGTTCGATTGGAGCATTTAAAGTAAGAAGTACTAACTTTAAGGTGTTATAATGTTGGAAATGTATAAATTAGTATCCTGAATAAATAAGTAATTGATCAACGAGTAACTTTTTTTAATACTACCATGTCATTAACTAAAATATATTTCTTATCTTTTGTTTTCTATAATACATTTTGACATAAAATACGTATTTTTATTTCAAAGACAAAGACTTCTTGCACAGAAAGATACCGCTCTCAGTTGAATAAGACACTTTGAATTTTTAAGTCAAATCAAAAAGAAACTGTTGCTTAGTAACAAACATAAAGAAAGATAGTTAAGCAGTGAAAGTGACTGGTTGAATGGATATTGCAAAAATACTTAAGAGGGGTAGACCGACATTACCCTTCAAAGAGTGTGGTGAAAGTACTGCTTATTTACTTTCTCAAGTAGACGCAGATGTACTGACATATGCAGCCCAAATGAAATTACGTGAAGTCTTTAGACACCGAAATTTAAAAAAATCTCACCTCTGGAAGCGCTTTCTTTGATAAATCGAAGCTTAGCTATCGCGAAAGCAGTACGAAGTAATCAGAAAATATGCACCAAACGTTTTTCCGCCTTATAAGATAGTGTAAAAAGAAAAACTACGTTCCTATCTACCAAATGTTCAAGTGATAGAAACAGAAGCTATAGTACCACTTCAGTTTGTTGGATCATACAGACAGGATACAGATAGAATAGTACTGCCAAAATTACTTTATACTGTAAGTGGGGATTTGATGGTAGTTCTACTAGCCATACTCAGTACAAGCAAAAAATTGTCTCTGAAGCACATGATGATATTTTTTATTTGTCTTTTACCGTTACGACTTACACAGGAGAGAAACGGAACACCAACAATTCATTAAGAAATTTTATATTATTCTACAAACAATTCCTAATGGCTTCAAAATTAATAAAGATAATTTAAACAATTTTGCTTAGTCTGCTACATTGTACTTCACCTTATATTCATGGATGGTCGGTGTATTAATATATTAAGATATTAATACACCGACCACTGATAATAGAGGAAGCACTATTAAATTAAGTGAAGATGCTCAAGAGGCTAGGAATAAAGATTCAAATCATTATAGGGATAACTTTGGAAGGAAAACATCAACAATAGTAATTAATCTAACAGATGTGGCAAATCGACTATTTTTATCATCAGACCCCCTAAACTGCCTTATGCGTCCAAAGCGAATAGAAAACAAAAAATCATTCGATCCCGAAGTAGAAGAATTTCATGATCTAGAGATTTGTAGTGAACACTTTATTTTACTCTAAAGTTACTGCGCTTTTACTTAATTCGAAACTTACACTTAGACGTAATTACACGAAAAGGATCCAATCCACAACATTGTCAAATTACTTAAGTATACCAAACTGATGCTAAATATCGATATTATCGGTCAGTAAAAAGGACCCACATCAAAACAGCTGTTTTCTTTTGAATTTGAACATCGGAACCAACCCACATCTATAGCCGTATATATACAACGTGTCCCAAAATTCAAGGATAAGCCGGCGCCGCAGGATGGACATAGTCATGACTACTTAAGGAAAAATAAGGAAAAAATCTATCTCAATTATTTTTTAAATTACACAGTAAATTACGAAATTCTTCGAAAATTGACACCCCTTATGATATTTTACATTACCACGACCTCCATTTTTCAAATATTTCTGTTTTTTTGTTTGTATCGGCAACTTAAGTAGTGCTGCTGTCCACCTCAACTCTCAAAACCCCCAGAATCCTTGCAGTTTTTACACAAAAGTTAATCAAAATATGTTATTTCCTTAAAATTTTGATCGATTTTTACTTTCACTCCACTTTGACTCATCGTTTTGTAAAAAAAATGTATGAACACTACTACGGCAAGTTTTTTATAAAGTTGACGCAACTATCCAAGATTCCAAAATGGTATAATACTCTAAGAAACCTAGTCGCAAAAAAGATATGCGTACCATTTTTACAAGCACTTCGCTTGTTAGTTAGTATGGGTTAAATCTTGCAACTGAATTTAAAACTAGTTCTCCTTAACCGATTGAGCTAAAATTTAGTATACTTATGTAAGTACGATGAAAATGCAATATTATGGTACCATTGAGCTGAATGGAGACTGGAGGTGGCCATAGGAACTTCTAAACGAAACGGCGGAATTGCATCTAGTTTGGGTTCGTTGGACTTGTCTTTTCGAGCACTTTAGTGCTAGATGATGTCCAGGGTCCTGACCTGATGATGAAGTCAGTTATAATTTTCAAATGAAGTCAAGCTTGTTTTTAAAAAAAGTTTTTTTTTATTACAACTTTATCTTAAACTTTTTAGTTGTTTCTCAATCTCATGGCCCAAGTGCTCGGGAAGACAAATCCAACGAACCCAAACTCGATAAGCTTCCGACGTTTCGTATAGGAGTTCCTATGGCCAGCTTCTGCCACCTCTTGACTTCATCATCAGGACCCTGGACATCATCTAGCACTAAAGTGCTCGAAAAGACAAGTCCAACGAACCCAAACTAGATGCAATTCCGCCGTTTCGTTAAGAGTTCCTATGGCCACCTCCAGACTCCATCCAGCTCAATGGTACCATAATATTGCATTGTCTTCGTACTTACACAAGTATACCAAATTTAAGCTCAATTGTTTAAGGAGAACTGGTTTTAAATTCAGTTGCATGATTTATCCCATACTAACTAACAAGCGAAGTTCTTGTAAAAATGGTACGCATATCTTTTTTGCGACTAGGTTTCTTAGAGTATTATACCATTTTGGAATCTTGGATAGTTGCGTCAACTTTATAAAAAACTTGCCGCAGTAGTGTTCATAATTTTTTTTTACAAAACGATGAGTCAAAGTGGAGTGAAAGTAAAAATCGTTGAAAATTTTAAGGAAATAACATATTTTGATTAACTTTTGTGTAAAAACTGCAAGGATTCTGCGGGTTTTAAGAGTTGGGGTGAACAGCAGCACTACTTAAGTTGCCGATATAAACAGAAAAACAGGAATATTTGAAAAATTGTGGTCGTGGTAATGTAAAATATCATAAGAGGTGTCAATTTTCGTCGAATTTCATAATTTATTGTGTAAGTTAAAAAATAATTGAGATAGATTTTTTTCCTTATTTTTCCTAAAGTAGTCATGACTATGTCCATCCTGTGGCGTCGGCTTATCCTTGAATTTTGGGACACGTTGTATATGTATTTTTTTCATTTAAAACAATCCAACTGTCGTGGTTCTTAACCTGTGTTAGAAACTAAATCTAATAACTAAAAATCGTAGTGGAAGTACCTTACAAGACCAACGAGGGAAACAGGGTGGCGGTTGGAATAAAACTTAAGTGCACGAAGTAGTTTAAAAAAAATATAATTAACAAATTGCCACAATACGAATCACTATAGGAAGGATCAAACAAATGGTTGCAAATTCTTGAAATTAGAAATGACTGTACAAGCTATATAAGATTTATATTTAGAGGAATTGAATAATATAATAAATACCGACCCTAAAAATCCAAAAATGCCAGTATNTATATTGCAAAAACAGTGAGAGAAAATAAAAAAACTAGGAGTTACACCGTCTTAAAGGGTAACAAGAGTGGTAAAAAAAGACCAAGAGAATATACACGGACATACTCTTTATGTGGAATAGACGTTTGTCGAGACATGTATATTAATAACTTTCAAATTACAACAAAAAAAGTTGATATAAGTTTGAAAAAAAATCGTAGTGGAAGTACCTTACAAGACCAACGAGGGAAACAGGGTGGCGGTTGGAATAAGACTAAAGTGCACGAAGTAGAGTTTATAAAAAATATAATTAACAAGTTGCCACAATACGAATCACATTATAGAAGGGACCAAACAAATGGTTGCAAATTCTTGAAATTAGGAATGACTGTACAAGCTATATATGATTTATATTTAGAGGAATTCAATAAATCAATAAATACCGACCCTACAAATCCAAAAAAGCCAGTATCGTTTTCAACTCTAAAACGTATATTTTACGATAATTTCAATCTTAGATGTAAGAGTTTACGAAAAGACACATGCAATAAATGTGACACTCTATCAATCAAGATTAAAAATTGTACATCAGATGTTGAGCGCAAACAGTATCAAGAAGAAAAAGAGATACACTTGAAGAGAGCTGAAGAGTTAAGGAGAGACATGAAAGAGGATATGATGAAAGCTAAAACCGAAGACAATTTTGAATGCATAACATTTGATATGGAAAAAACGTTGCCTCTTCCTCGAATCCCAACAAGCGTCGTTTTTTACAAACGACAACTTTGGTTTTACAATTGCTCTGTACATACTGGCTCAGATAATATCGGACATTGTTATGTTTGGGTTGAGGGTGAAGCGGGTCGAGGGTCCCAAGAAGTAGGATCATGTATTTCCAAATATATAAAACATAAACTGGACCCTAAAGTAGAACATCTTGTGCTTTGGAGCGATTGTTGTGGAGGCCAAAATCGCAACATCAAAATAGTATTGATGTTAAAAGCCGTCTTGAATTCCCATCCCACGTTAAAGACGATAACTTTTAAATATTTGGAATCGGGACACACATTCTTACCAAATGATACAGATTTCTCAAAAATAGAAACGATGCTGAAATACCATGAAAGGATATACACAGTCAAAGAATATATTAATATTATTAAAAATTGCAAAAAACAACATCCATTACAAGTTTACCGAATGGAAAAAAATGATTTTATGGGGACCAAAACACTTGAAAAGAATACAGTAAATAGAAAACTTTTTGTATCCAAAGAAAAAGTTAATTGGTTAAAGACAAAGGTGATTTTAATAGATAAGGACGATAAATTTCATGTTTACATGAAAGCCGATTCTGATAATTTCAATCAACTTAATATTGAAAAAAAGTTAAAAGGTAAATCCTTTGATATTAATGAGAAAGACCTTGTTTTATTGTGGCCCAACGGCAAGGTAATCCCTCAACCCAAGTTGGATGATCTTATGTCCATGTTAGATTTGATCCCAAAAGATTGTCAAGACTTTTATAAATCTCTAAAGGGTAGTTCTAATATCGTAGAAGACATAGAAGGCTACGACGGAGATCTTGATTTTATTCCTGAGGAGAGTGATGACTAAAAGGCTTGGTTATCTTATAAGATTACTTTTTTTTTCGAACTGATTTTAAATTTAAACATTTTAGAAAATTTCACTTCAGTAATTTTTCAAATACTTTATGTTTTGTGTTTTGCAAGTAGGAAAGAGTGCATACTGTACTACCGACTGTTCAAATTCTTCGAAATGCGATTAATGTTCTGTGTGTATGACTGTTTTTTTTTATAAAATTAAAGTTATAATAATAAAAAATGACGTTTTATTGAAAAAAAAATGTATTATTATTAAAGATTTTTTACATGGGTCTTTTTAATGAATTAAGTCTTGAGCGTTCACAATATTAACTGTTATTTAGCGAAAAGGATCCAACTGCATATTTTTACAAATATCTCCTGAAATACAATATTGTGTTTGATTGTACTATAATCAATAAAAATAATTATAATAATACACATTAACAACATACTGACAACTTATTTTATAATTAATACCTATGAAGAAATACGTCATAAACTTCAAATGTTAATATCTCGAAAATGACTTGATGTGGATTGGATCCTTTTCATGTAACTACGTCCAATTTATTTTTAGATTGGTACGAGTAGGTACATTATTTAAGCTATAATTCATGTACCTACTATTCGGGTTTACTGGTTTATGAAGAGTAAAGAATGATATAGGGCAGATATGTACCATCCTAGACTGCATCCCACTTAACATCAGGTGCGATTGTGGTCAAATAACTGCCTTGTTATGCATAAAATAAAAGAATTAAGAATAGTAATAAATCAAAAATTGGGGACAATGATGATCAATCAATTAGTATGGATCAATGGCATTATCACGTACCATTAGTTCCAATACAGAAGTATATGTTTTGTGATTTCGGCGACTTTTTACTCGACTACGCCAGAAGCAGTGTTGTGTTATATTTACTCACAAATCTCATCTATTTTTTTTTTATTTTTTTTTATTCTTATATGTACCTATAGAAAGTAGCAATCAGATGGAAGTTGGAAGCGAGCTTCACAGGGAATCCTCATCCAAACATCACTTGACTAGGCGCAGACCACCGATTTTTAATTGGCCGATAGTTGTGCCCGATTTTAAATTGTATGAAGAATCGGCCAAATCAAATCGGTGTAATGTGCGCACTTTCATACATGTCCATACTGATCAACTGACCGGCTAAACTATCGGCCGATGAAAAATCGATGGTCTGCGCCTAGGCTAACTGCTTTTTTATAAAAAAAAATATATATATCCTACAGTTCCGTGTAAATACCTGGATGCGGGCAGCGCAGGACCGATCGTTAGTGAAATCCATGGGGGAGGCCTTTGTCCAGCAGTGGACGACATAGGTTGAAACACGAGAACAGTTTCATGTTATTACATGTATCATTAAGCCTAGGCGCAGACCATCGATTTTTCGTCGGCCGATAGTTTAGTCGGGCAGTTGATCAGTATGGGCATGTATGGAAGTGCGCACATTACACCGATTGATTTGGCCGATTCTTCATACAATTTAAAATCGGGCACAACTATCGGCCAACTAAAAATCGGTGGTCTGCGCCTAGTCTTAAAAAGTCATCCAAGATTTAAAATAAATGACGATGGCACACCAATTTTAATACTACTTATATCATGTAAATCATGTGTTATTTTGCAAAAATGTAACAAAAACACTTAAATATGTTTTCGACTACATTTTAAATAAGGTTTGCTTCAAGACAAGGTTATTATTAAAGCGATTCGTTAAGGTATCACATTATTGTCTTTGAGTTTAATTATATACTTAAGCGATATAGACACGTGTAAATTTATCATCAAAATAACAGACATACCTATGTAGTTTTAGGCCTATTTTTAGAGATGACTTAGATTTAATTAATTTTAGACCAAATATAGGTATAACCTGAGTCAACGAAAACTGGCAACTTGTTGCATAATTTTTAGGGGATTTTTTTGTTTTAGCAAAACTTTAAGAAATTCACCATGAATATCACGATGGTATTTAACCAAAATACATGAAATAAATTACGTCTTATCTAAAATTGGACCGAAAAATAGAGTCAAATCGGCACATTGGAATGGATGTTTCAAGTTAGGCGCCATCTCGGAATCAAACCCATGATCTATTGAGATTCGAGCTCTACCCACTAAGTAGAGGCGTCAAAACTCTGTAAAGACTCACTATACATAAATGTTTATTTATGATACTATCCATATCCATATTATCATAATATTATCCCAAAACTTTGAGGACTTTCACGTTTGTTCTTCCTTTATGCAAAAACTACAGGGTTTTGTAGAAACTATTATATTATTATAATATTATGTACAATGTAGTAATACACATGCGCGTATATGGGTTGGGCGGTGCCCTCCCCAAAATGGTCTAGTGCCCACCATAGGATGTTGGGCTACCAAAGATATTTTATGTTAGTTGATAGAACTCATGAGCTAATCATAGCTTGCCATGACATGCCATGAGATGCCGATTAGTTGATTAGTTGGCATGTCAGAGGCCAGACCCCCCTGAAAAATCTACGGTTATTTTTCAGGCCATGTCCATGCCAATCGTAAAACATCTACTTACTTAAGTTACGTTTTATCAAATTCTACGTATTATTAAAAAGTCTCAGTCAAAGGCTTGTCACAATAATATTATAAAGGCGAAAGTATATGTTTGTAACTTCTTTACGTCTAAACGGATGGAGCGATTTTAATAAAATTTGGTATGGAGGATTAACACATAGGGCCACCCTGGATTAACACATAGGCTACGTTTACCACCGGTAAGACCGCGGGGCACAGCTATTGTGAATAAAATCTCAAATTATATTCTTTCGTCTGAAGGTCTTTGGGGGGCACATTATTACATAATACATATTACGTTACAACAACGCCATTCTTACAGAAGTTAAAACACCTTGAATTCTCTACCTACCGTATTATCTTGGAATTAACATAACAAATTTCTAACTTACAATATGGCGTCTGTTAATGCAAAATTTGAGGCATTTTAACATTTGGCTAACTCTAGGTTTGTTATTTAAATTTGTTTTTGTTTAATAATAAGCGATGAAAATGGCGACTTAAAATCTTTCCACTGTGTACTTATTTGCAATTTTAACAGTCTAATTTTAGTGTCAATTTTGAAAATATAAGTCTAAGAGCTAATTTTTCAATTGTCAGATATCTTTTAACAGAAGAATAAACTTGTCATTTTGACATATTTCCCATACTGAAACTGTCAATGTGCCAAACTTATTCTTCAGTTAAAATTTATCTGACGATTGAAAAATCAGCCCTTAATAACAAGATATAAGACAGTGTTCTTTTTAATGTGTCAAGTAACTTTGAAGTAATTTTACTTTATTGTCAGTAATTATCATAAATTACTGTTTTACTATGATAAAACTTACCAGACGTTATCACCTAAGTAATATCAAATTGAAAATGGTTTTACTTACCAATTAAAACTCTACTACCGTAGAGTCAAAAAGACATAAAAAAACTTTAAACTTGTGAGTAGTTTATAAAGTTATACGACGTTATTCATGTTATGAAGGTTAAATAAAACTTTATGAGTTTTATTTTAGATTATAATTAAAATATTTTTTTTTCTATACCCAAACTATGTAATATAACTTAATTGTTTCGAGTTGTTTGTAACCTCTACATAAATAGCATTCAGGCTACAAAAACACGTTTCAATGACATATTATGAAAAGACAACTAAAAGTGTATTTTCAGACACTCGTATGTTGAAAAATTTAAATTCTTTTGTATGCAAATTTGCTTAATTCGCGTCACAACAAGGCAAACGTTTGAACAGCTGAATTGGTAACACGAAAACAACGACCATCGTATTCATTAATTCCAATTTTAGTATCAGTATCCTTCCATTTTTCTTACGTTTCGGCTTTTACGCACACAACAAAAATCACTTTATCACTAGCACTTTTTGGTTAAAAACTTTTTCACAAAATCACAACACAAACTCCACGCAGTTTAGAAAAAAAAAACTGAATTATGGAACTCGTTTTAACTTTTTAAACTGTATTTGAATATGGAACGTAATCGAATCGCGTCAAATAGTTTCCCGCGCAAACCGAGAGCGCGAAGCGCACGCCCCCTACAGCGACGAAAAGTAGACTGAGCTCGGAAAACCGAGCGTGGATCGCGCCGTCATACAAACTCGATGTGGCTACGGTCGAATTATGAACTACGATTTTCCGATACCTATTTTGACAGCACCCATACATAGTAGCGCCACCGTTTTTGGCAAAAATAAAAATGTTATTGTAACCTTTACGCAACCGGTTTCTAGCCCGTTAAATTGCGGCCAAAAATAAAACTGGCTACATAAAAACGTTATTTCCATAATTGTTTAAGTTTATCTGAGTTGGAACATGGTTGTGCAATGTAGACATATTCAGTAGGCTTTTTTATACTGTCTTGTTTTCTTTTCAGTGTAAAAAATAGGCAGCGTGGCTTAAATTCCTATTGTATCGAATTCAAAATAATGTAGCCATCCAACCACATTTTGATAGTCATAGTTACAAGCGACGGAGAATCGGGTGTCGGTAATAATACGTTAATGAAAAATAAAGTGACAGACGACAGCACATAATTTTTTTTTTTTCAAAATCGTCACACATGTATTAGGATTTTATACACACCAACCCTTGGTGTTAGCGGTTTTATTTCAAAAGAATCATGTTCCTACCTACTTTCTATGATTTTTGACAACACGTCAAAAGTTGACGACACAGGTTAGCGAGATTGCTGTTTAGACTGCATTACAACTACCTACTTAAAGTGCCTCAGTAGGTAATTACCTTAATATACTGTCCATATCACACAATAGGGTAATTCACTTCATTAGGCATGCATCCGAGCTGCAGACGGATATCTGATTCAATTAGTTTCACACCTAGCCAGGTCTAGATGGGTCTAGGTGATGCACGCATGATTGGGCTTTTAGTCTGACAAGTACTAGGGGAGACCGAGGTGAGTTGTAACAGAGGAGAGATGTGACGTCGATTTTTGGAAATCTATAACATCAGCGAGCTCGCAACACCGTGTATTTGTTAGCTCGAGACTTGAACTAAAAACGCGCACTGTTGCGAGCTCACTTAAAGATATTTACACATTGATGGGCAGTAACGTCCACTAGCGTTTAGGTAGTAAAGGATGACACAACAGAACCGTAACGCCTATAGACGTCATAGTTTTTACGGTGCAGTC